CGTTGGGAAGTTCCTTGTTCTTGCTCATTTTGCCTGATATCTTGAAATACCGACTCATCGAAATTATGACATCTTTGTTTGTCTCTTTTTTCTTAAGAAACGGTTATACAAAGTGACATTCATCGCAATGCTTATTTACTTAAAATGTATAATGGGCGTAAATTTACAACAAAAGTCTTTGAGTAACAAGCGATTTTATTAGAGAAGCTTAACCCTTTCATGCCTTTAGCTCAGAACTCAACTTCTGTGTAATAAAAATATCATATTCGGAATCAGGGTCCAAAACCGAATCGATGGATATGTATCTCTATCCTATCCGAGTACTTGTAAATTTTTTCAAATTTTCACGTTGAAAAATCATCTAGGTTTTCACCAAAAAAATAAAAATCAAGTGAAACTTTCGAAATACATACCAGTCGATTTAATTTTTGATCTTGATTTTGAAGATGATATTTTTATTACATAGAAGTTAAGTTCTGTTGGAGAAAATTGAGAAATACGAGCAGAATTCTGACTTTTCCCCTCTAATTTAGAAAAAATCCATCACATAATACGGAGACATTATCAAACCCGACGTTTGTTCAGTTTTTAATTCTCTATACAACCACGTTTGAACCGAGTCTCCGTCTCCATCTCTTGGCTGAGCTGAGCTACATTCACTTTACAAAAAAGTTGAATTTTAAATTATCGCGAAAAATTATTTTTATGATAAATATTAAATCCAGATTATTGATTTGAAGACCACAATAGATAGACCTTAAGTTGACATAAAATCTGTTTCCAAAAGTCTCATAGTTCAAAAGAACCAAATTTTTATAAAAATGGTCCTTATAGGGGTCGGGTCATAAGACACGAAAAGGTTAAAGTTACGAATAAGCTAATTAGTTAAACTATTCAACAATAACAATTCAAAACAGAAGTGTAGTTAATACTATCGAATTCAAAACATAATGGACTCCGATATTTTTCGATTAGCTTTTGAACGGAAAGGCGTAGGGACTTGCGGTTATTAGCGCATTTGTGACATGATCATTGTTTTATTTGTTTAACTTGATTACTCTTACTCTGCTTTCAAAATCTATTAGCGATGCATCTATATATATTTTGAATCTGCAGGTGTTTCGTATTTTCGAAGATTCAGATTTATTTAGTAATTGGCTTTCACATAGTTTTCTAACAATGTTGCTCTTTTGTGAGTATATAGGATGGGTGTTGTAAACCAGTTGGGGGATAATATTCATAATGGGTATACTGGAATCCAAGTTGTTCCAGAAGTCGACAAGAAGCGACATTTTTCGGATGATGGCCAGCAAAAATTTTAGTCACATTTGAATTACAGAATGCATATGATATTACGGCATCGGCAGCTTCTCTTCCAAATCCTTGTCTCCAAAATTTTGGCCGAATATGAAAACCAATTTCAATTATATACTTCTCTTTGTCATATGGGCGAAAGCCACAACATCCAATATGTTCGCCAGTTTCCAGTGAAAATATCGGCCAATATTGAAGATTGTACAGTCTCATATTTTTCATTTCATGTGAAAAACGTTCGTGTATCTTCTCAGTAGTGAATGGACCACCGATAAGCTCTGTAACAGCATTGTCACCCCAAAGGTCTAAAGCTAAATGAAGATCATCTTCTGTCCATAAACGAAAACCAAGACGCTTAGTTTGCAAAAAATACTTGAAATCATTAGCGGATTGTGTCGAGTACATTTAAAAGAGAAAATGAACTAAAACATAAAAAAAGATAAAAGATATGGCTTTAGTAGTAAGTAGCAAGTAGCCAGTTTTGGGCTCATTGACGTCCACCTGATAAGGTTTTAATGTAAAACTAGTCCCTACATTTGCCTACATCATAAGCAAAGTAAATCTCTTGGCTAACCAGTGAAGTAATCCTCTTCTACCCTAGATCTATTACTTTTATAAATACTAATTGGACGTTTATACGACTCTTATTAAATTCGTATATAAGTATTCGGCCACGATTGTGGGAATTATTCTGGATGAGACTTATAGAAACTTGAGAGTTACTTTATAAGAACTTGCTCAGTGATCTATACTTTTTATAAAAAACTCTGAGTCTTTTGTTATACCCAGGCGTCTAAAGAATTTGAAGGGTTCTTATATTGTGTCCACAAAACAAATGTGTGTATTTCATATAAAATATAGACATATTATAGATAAATCGAAAGTACTCATCGATCTTCATCCAATAGAGCATGTGGTAGCGTCATAAAGTTCGTGTGGAGTCATCCATAAGTACGGCATGGGATCAGAAGAGCAAATGTTAAAAAAGTTTCGAACCATAATTCATAATTCCTAATTATAAATGGCCAACGTTCAAGTTAAGCGAGCTCAAATGTGATTGTTTATTAGATCGAATGAGAGTGTATTTCTTGACAAAGAGAAGTATATAATTGAAATTGGTTTTCATATTCGGCCAA